TAATGAGGATGATACGTTGGTGATCAATGCTAATGGGGATGTCGCTATGACATCGGACCCTGAGTAAAAGTGGGGGGGAATCCGTTGTTGGTACATCAAGGTCACAAATTGATGAATGATTGAGCTTAAAGAATCCCTAGTAAAATTGTCTATAGTCATGAGTGTTTTAGTATTATTTTATGTTTCTCCGAAAAGTATTACTTACTTGGATTCAAGACACAAGTTTTCCACCTTTGTTTCTGTGACACCATATTTTTGATTTTTGACAAGTGGCATGTTGGCGAATCGTGTTAAGCATTCTAATTATGGCAAACATGAATTAGACATTTTCGACGTATTACACGACTTTTGCCTATAACTGTACACTCTGATACATAATACCATCACTAAAATCACTATACATTACTCATACAGTGTCGATAAAGATGAGTCTCTCCTTTCATAAACAAGTATGCTTGAAATATGGTAGTGGTGGGAGTAATGGGCCCCTAAGAGAGTTTTGTAACTTTGATGTTGCTTTACAACAAACCACGATTTCAACAATTTAAAGTGTCCTACACAATCAATTTTAGTAATTTTTTATATTGTAGATACTTTTTTACAGCAAAATGATTTTTTCAGAATTGCCAAATAATGTTGGAATAATGATCATATATGATTAGGAAGTGGCCACATGTTGGTCTGGTGACAGTACTGGGCCTTTTACAAATTAGAAGTTTTATTCATATTCAGCCATTTTAGGTGACCCCTTCTGTTTTTAACAGTCGGATTATTAATCGTGGCTATTATATCTTCGTTAAAATAGTAAAAAAATATCCTCTTTTAGTGGCCATTTCGAGGAGCCTATGCCTGCGTTAGCCATTCCTTATTTCTGCACCTTCATTATGTTTTTTAGAATTGTACCTTAAATAAAAGGTAAGTAAAAAGCACATGAATGGTATAGACAGGCAGAAGACTGGGGGAGGAAGAGCAAGTTCAGCTGAAGCTTTTTTCTTCATCATAGGTACCATTTTTCACTGGTTCTATTGCTTTATTTTATCCTCTGGATATAAAAAAATCTCTCTTGCTAAGCGTTATTTTTCCCATAAGGTACCTACGACAATTTTGAAAACGTGAAATTAAATCAGGAAAGCAAGTGTCCATTACTGGGACATTTCCAATTATTTTTGATAAAGAATTGGTCACCCATCTCAAAACATTTTCAAAAACAATGAAAACATCAATGAATAACTAAAATTTAACGTTACCTGGTTATCCTAGACACAAATAAGCGAACCACATACAAAAAGGCAACGTTATTCTCCCACCAGTTCTCTAAACACGACGAAAATTTTCGCAAGGATTTCTATGTGATAGACGTATCCAAAACACTGGGTATTTGGCACAGGATGTTAACTTTTGGGAGACGCTAAGAGCCGTATCGTCAGTCGTTCCTACAATTAATTTTAGGACGCCGTTATAACCTCCTTCATTTTCATAGTTTTCCTGTCTTTCAGAAGGCGCTCTATTTTGAGGTTACATTGCAAATATCTATTTGCATCAAATTGTTCATGTTTCCTGTTTTCATCACATGTTTTATCAGTCTGAAAGTTCCTACAATTCAAAAAGAAAACAACTAGGAGAGTGCTGACACAGAACAGTAGAAATCTAGAAATGCCCCAGCCTTTCTGAAGGAGAGAAAAGGCTATAAAAATCGAGAAGCCCATAACTTGTAGGACGCCTTTATGGCCTCCTTGACGCCTTTATGGCCTCCTTGATTTTCATAGTTATCTACTGTTCCGTGACAGCGATCTATGCGATCTATTTATCAGCATGAAATTTCTACAGTTCACAATAGGAGAGCGTTTACGCTGATACGAAACAGTAGAAATCTAGAAATGGCCCAGCCTTTCTGAAGAAGAGAAAAGACTTTGAAAATCAGGGAGGCCATAAAGGCGACTGACGATACGGCCCTAAAGTATTGTCAATAGAAATGGCATTATGTTCAAAACAGAGTATCCTCGCTCTCGAATTTGAGAGTTAGGCCAAATTATAATGCTGAAATGTCCATTACTCTCGCCATTACACTAACTGATACAGTACAAGGAACTCACTATTCTTTGGTAAAAAAATGTCAAGTACCATCTCAACTTTCATACAAACATCCATTCTTTCAGATACATAAAGCTACGTGAAGTGGTATAGAAATGATCAGAAAACGATCTGACTGATCTGACACTTCCGAAGCATCAGCATCATCTTGAAAACAGCGTAATCGGACATCAAATCGAGAAGATCGTTAGTGCTGTTGGAATGTGTCGCTTTCAGATTTTTCAAATCCGATTTATAAACGAACAGCTTTGGCTATTTGGCGCCTGGGTTGGTTATTCACGCGCGGCGTATTTTTTACCTAATTTTTTGCTTGAGGTCCAGCCGGATTTGATAGCGCAGATTTTTCGGAGCCTAGCAACTAGGTTTACTAGGAAAAAAATCTCATTTGCATAACAATATGTTGTGTAAAAATGCCAACTTCAAGAACATCCTGTACAATGGATACACATTGTCAAAGACTGTATACACGATATGTTAAATACTGAAACACTGATGACTATAACATCCATCTGATGATCAATAAGGTTTGAGAAGTATTTCAAAATGATTGGAATGTAAGTTAATTTTATAACCCTATTTTCATTGAATTAATTATCGAAATAGCATGATACGTTTATCTTTCACATATAGAGTAATATGATTACCAACAACCGCATGAATTATTTCACAAAATGTACTGAAAAATATCTTGTATTATGATTGATTTGTGTGGTAACCTATTATCTTCTCAAATGTGAAAGACGTTTGCTTATCTTTTGTCAGTAATCTGCTATTTGTACTGATCATTTACAATACACTCTTGAGATTCTCTTTCAATGTATTTCTCGAAGAAATACATCCATATTTTTTAACTATTTTAAGGTAGATCTTGGTGTACAACAATGATGAAAGTAAGTTCTCGTGAAGTGAAAAATAATGTCTAGTTAATATAAACTGATAAACAGTCTTATTCAATTTTGTACATTAATTGCATAGACTACAGTTGGTTGATTGTGAGCAGTTATAACTGCAGTGCAGCATATATTTTTTTTTGTTTTGTTTTTTCTTTACAGGGAAACTGATTTGAAGAGAAGATATATAAAAATACAATGAAGTAATATGTATTTCTCTATACAAGGTTGTTGAAGAAATCACGGGGGCTTAGATATGCCTTAATTATATGATATTGTCACACCAGATATGTTTCTCGCTGCTTGGCTTTACTATTCGTTATAATATGATGACGATTTTTAACTTGAAATGAATGTAATGTTCTTATGATGTGATTTTTTTGTTACTAAAATCGTAATTTTCATTCTAATCTAAAACTATATTATTTGATTCCTTCAACAGATCTTGTACACATAGCTGAGTTGGTATGGCTCAGGTAAGTTGCTGCATAGCTACTCACTATATTTTAATGTGTCAATTTTGATACAGTGGGTTGAGATTTTTGTTTAACATATTGTTATACAGCGTACACTCTCAACGTTATGAAGACCAGCGCACACTGGGAGACGAAAGGGAAGAAAAATATTGAAACATGTAATGTATTATGAAAGATTTTTCTCTAAATGCACCGAAGAAGTTTCCTGCTGAGATTTTTCATATTACTGTGCGCTTTCGGGAGGAAAATCCTTTTCAGGAGATGGCTCTTCCATCTACCGATGTGCGCTGACACTTGGAAGGTACTTTTTTATCGATTGGTTCAAGTATGCAATGTAATGTGACAAAGTATAAAAATGAATACAAAGTGATTTATTAATAAACAAGTGTAACTATAAGAAATTTAATTAAAAACCAATATCTATGTTGTTTTTCTAGAAATTATTGTAAATAAAAATCATATTAGTGTTATTTATTCGAAATAAATCACGGAATATCATACTCATTCAAATCTTTTTCTCAAGTGAAGAACAAAGTAGGAACTGGAAAATAAGGCTTAGACGCTTAAATAAACATTTATATTTACCTTTCCAATCATTAAATTCTATCCTCATTTTATTCATCTGCCTTTGTTTTATCTTCTACTTGCCATATTCATCAGAACTATTATTTTTGTAAAGGTACTATTACAGCTTTAGTTGGAAATTGTCCAGATCTTTAAAATAGTTTTTATGTTTAAAATTATATAAAAACTGAAGAGAATACACGTAAATTATATTACTCTGGATGTTTTATTTTGCCCCCACAAATACCGAACTAAGAGCAGAAGCTGACGAACTGCGGCGGTTGATGATCCGTATTAAAAAAAAATACAATGCAAATTAGAACTCTCAATCTGATCACAGCTCTACTCTTCCAGCGATCATTTCATTAGTCGGTCATTTGCAAGAGGTGTCAACGTATGGTTAAATTTTTACAAAAAATAGTTTTCCTGGCTCTTCCAACAAAAATTCCGACAACATCGCATAGCGTGCTGATGGTATGTATTTTTGGCTTTAGCAGATGCGACGATGCCATGTGTCGCCTCCCTAAGTGAAAAGCTGAAACTTTATGTGGTATCCCTGGTAAACTTTCATACAAGAATGATTAAGGCTGATTCTCACTATACTTTCCATTCCATATCAGTTTCGTAAACGTTCCGTACAATTTGATTGTATACAGTATACCTTACGTTGCATTTCCATATTCAGTATTTTCGTATATGCAACATATACGTAGTTCAAAACGTGAAATATGTAGTCTGAAAAAAATGTAATTAGTGCCGCTGTTATTTTGGACGAGGGAGGAAGTTTGAAAAAAAATTCTTCAATTCACACTAGCCATATCATTTCCACCTGTCTGCCAAAAGTACGATACGAAGGAATGGGTATGGAAGGGACGCAGGATGCTATGTGAACAGAACGGGTAATGTGCATACACACGCAATAGCCTGCCTTAACGCGAAGGCGAATTTCCAATTTAGGGAATGTATAGTAAGAATCAATCTTTAATTGGTAGCGGGTGTGTAATTTCAATATTTTTGAAATGTACGTCCTTATTTTTAGGTCTGCCTCATAACTAACTAATCTGTGGCAACGTAGCTTGTCGTCTTAGATGTCCTATGTTGCCTAATTTATAAATCCAACATGAATGTTAGAAGAATCTGCGTAAGTTCTAATATTTTTTAACGTTTCACTTGAAAAAACATAAATTTTGATGAGAAATTAACTTCTGATATTTTTATTACTTTAGTATAGCGTTAATCTTTGCTAAATAAAATTTTACATTACAACAGTGTGAGATCGGCTTAAAATACGAGACGCCATAAGTAAACTTGAAAAACGCCGAGTGGTCAATTTTATGCTTTCCGTAATTTACGTTATATTTTGCACTGAAATTGAAACTGAGATAAAACTTAAAACTTGATATCGAACAGCAGTTGAGGCTCATTCAGTTTACCAGCATAATATCGCTCTGAAAAATGTAAGTACTACCTAACCTCAACACTTTCGGGAATACGAATTTTTACTTTATTTTAGGGCTAAGCCTCTAGGTTCCGACTCCGAGGTAGAAGATAAAGACAAAAAGAAGGAGAGGAGTCGCGATAAGAAGAAACGGTCATCTGGTTCTAGCAGTAGTGATACCAGAAGCAGGTATATGTATATATATGCACATGTCACCCATTTTGCTTGCTTTTAATCGAATATACCCTAAAATCTTATACTGTTTCAGTTCTTCAGATAGCAGCTCATCTAGCTCAAGATCTTCAAGTAGTTCTACATCAAGTGCAAGCAGTAGATCAAGTAGTTCGTCCTCTGACAGCTCATCTTCCAGTAGCCACAATGATCGAACCAGGCCAAAAAGAAGGTAATAAATTGTATGATTTCTATTAATTTTTTTTATAATATAAATATTGCTTACAGGTCATCTAAATCTAGAACAAAAGCCACAGATAAACCAGAAAAAGATAAGGAGGGAAAAGATAAAGTGAGAGACAAGAAAGAAGTGAAAGATAAGGAGAAGGATAAAGTAAAAGTTGATGTTAAAAAGGATGAAAAAGATAAGGATAAAGAAAAGGATCACAAGGCCAAATCACCAGTTAGGGAAAAGGATGACAGAAATCATGCTAGGCACAGATCTCGGTAAGGAGAATCTATTAAAATTTGATATTTTGGCATTATCTTTGATTTTGTGCATCTGCAATCTGGACAGAAGCTCATCTCTCATGTTGATTGGGTGCATCCCTACTAATATTTTCATGTCAAAATGGCTGAACCGTTTTGATAAATGTTAGCATAGATATAGATTAGATCAAGGAGATGGACTATGTCACATAGGCTACTTTTTGTTGCAAAAATAATACTTGAATGGATTGAAATAGAAGTTACTACATATATGGAAGTTAGAGAAACAAATATGTTTTATGGTTTTGTATATTTGGTTCTTATATAATATACAGTAGAACCCTGATTATCCAAAGTAATGTGAACCAGGTGCTCTCAGATAATCAAAATTTCAGATAAAACAAATAAATATTTAGACATAATGCTTTGATTTAAATAAATAATGTGGATAATACAAACATGCATATTCATGAGTATTTAGTAACGTAGGAAGTAATTTATAATTGTACATGTTTTTCATTGCTCCTATTTTTGGCAGCAATATTCCTCCAACATTTGATAAGTAGCACATCAGTTGCTGTTGCATTTTCTTGTTGTTCAACATAAATCAAAGCCTTTTGTAGAGCTTCTAATCCTTCAGAATGTGACATTTTGGCAGAGATTTCTGTCTCCTTGTCACTAGCATCACTCAAAACTGTCACATCATCATTGTTGCAAACAGTTTTTATTAGTTCTATATAAGTAAATTCTTCCACCAATTCATCACCATTAATCCGCTGACCAACATCTGCTTGGGTAAGATTTTCATTCCCTGCTATTTTTATGATGAGCTCATGTAAATTTTCATTGTTATTTTCATAGTCTGCGCAAGGTTCCATTTCTTGCTTAATTATTGTCGACCAAGATTTTTGTAAAGTAGAATTTTTGACTTGGCTGCTATCCAATATGCCACATTCTTGAAGTTAATCTCTTTTAAAAAATCAAAGAGGTTACTACCATTATCAAGTTAATCTAAAATTTGCTCTAATAACAAACGTCTGTAATTGCGTTTTAAATTTTCTAAAACCCCTTGATCCCTTTGCTGAATCAGTGACGTTACATTAGGAGGCAAATACATCACTCGTATTCCTCCACTTTTAAGTTGCTCCTCACTTGGGTGGCTCAGAGCATTGTCTAATAGCAAAATACATTTTCTCGGATATCCGCGTTCATTTAAATATCGTTCTAACTTGGAAACAAAATGACTGTCCTTGTGAGTCCTTAAATAGAGCGGCATACATCCAGTCATTTTTTTTATTTTTATACCACACTGGAAGAGTGTTGGGACGTGTTCAAATGCTCTTTACACACGTTCTTTACTGTGGAGCTCCAGATTATTGTTTTGAAGCTAAACTTTTCGCCGGTAACATTTTATAGCTTAGGCCCGTTTCATCGCAGTTGTAAATTTGTTCTGTATTAATATTCATTAATTCTTTAAAATGTTCTCCAAATTTTAATGCGGCGGTCATATCGACAGATAACTTATCTCCATAAACTTTTAATTCTCGTATACCGTATCGTTTTTTCCATCTATGCAGCCAACCATCACTGGCTGTAAAGTCATCAGGAGGCTCAATAACTGGCAATTCTTCACTTAAGTTGCCTGCCTTTTGCTTTAGAATTGGTCCGGAAATTGGTATTCAACGTTCTCGATTCTGTGTAAACCACAGATATAAAGCATCATCCACTTTTTGATATTACCCCCTTTTCATAGTTTTCCGTGACGGCTGCGATGATGTCAGACCTCTTCAATTTTCTCGCATTGTTTCGAAATGGTACTCACGCCCACACCCAAATCTCTTGCCACGTTTTTTAGACATTCGAAGGTATTTCTCATCATTTTTGCAACCAATGGTAGTGTTTTCCAATGACACTCCTGTATTCTGCCTTTGAAATTCTGCAGAATATTATGCATATAAGGGAATTATGTAGTCGGAACTTCAAACTTCGTTTTTAAAAAAACTTTATTTGGTTCCAACAATAGTTTACATGGACCGAACTGGAATTACAGTGTGTGTGTTTGCTGAGACTGAGATTGAATGACTGACTCATAATTAAGATACAATCGTTAATATAAACCAAAAGTGATGAGCTATTTATTAAAAAGGAATACAATGCAATTATTATATCAATTAATAAAGTGTTAAATGACAGCAACTTAACTCCTCCACCCTTAAGATGAAGTTTTGGAGGGCACAAACAAAACTTCGTGCTTCTGGGGTTGCATTTCGATTTCTTCTAAATGCTGGCTTCTTCTTTATCCTTTTCTTCTCTGGTAATACTTTTTCACGAAAATGCATGCAATTCCAATTAACATAATTGCATACAGGGGTAGACTCCATTTTTAGGGGTGCTTCACTGTTTCGGGAAGATCTACCTGGATTTGGTCGGCTCGTTCTTGCAAGTGATGAAGTTTATCTAAGGAAATATGTACTAACTTGATTTCCTTTGGATTTTCTGTTTTTGCTGAAATGTGGACCTCTGGAAGCAACAGCAGCTTTTCCATGGTTGTTCCTTTTTGATTTTTGTAAATGTTATCCTTCGTTTGTATGCTGCACTGGTAAGGCACTTCAAGTAGGTAAATGCCTTTTAACTCTATCACGTCATATTGTTCATACTTGATTATCAGCTTTTAAGGTTTCGGAAAAATGTATTTGGACTCTGAAACTTCTTCAATTAAGGCCATTTTAAGAGTTACTGGAATTTTGTTACAATTTGGCTGCTTTTTGTTTACTTGTAAAATAGCAAATAGACAATCGTCTTCTTCTTCTGCTACATGAACCAATTTGTTTTCGTGGCAAATAAAAATATCTTCTATCATTTGACATGGTTCAGCATCATATTGGTATATTTTGGTACTCATTGTGAAATAGGAATTTTTGGGAATAATGGTAGGTTAACAGTAGGAATGGAATAAAGATGATAATGCTTAAATTTGTCTATGTGCAAAAGCGGAACATGTAAGGCAAAAACTAATCGATTTTGAGAAAAATATGCTTCTACTGAAATTATGTCGTAAAGCTTATAATAATAAATTTTAATTCGTCTATCGAAATAATACTGTGGTGCAATGACCCAATTTTGGCAAATGCGATGGCATTTTCCAAATTACTAGTTATAGAGAGCAGTGTATCTAAATTGAACTTTATTTGTAATAGTGTATCCAAAATAGTATGTATTGTTCCTTTGCATCTCTACCAAAGTTTGTTCTATTACAGCTTGATTGTGAACCATAAGGCTAAATGTCTTATTGTTATTTTTGAGAACCTCGTGGGTCAAGGAAATTTGCTGATTAACTGTCTTAATTACTTGATTCTGATTTTTCTGTAATTGTTCAATAGCCTGATCATATTTTTTAGCATCGTCATCATCTAAGTTCCCTGAAATCATTTTGATAATTGAACCTAAACCATTAATTAAACCTCGTTTTGGGCGATATTGCTTTTTCCAGAATGGATATATGGACTTTATTTTGTTTTTCAAATTTGATATCGAGTAACCTATATGCTGTTCTATATCTGCCAAATGTGTATCTGGAATGAATCCTAAATTATATTTATTCTTTTCTGTTTGGTCCTTGATTTCTTGAAATACTGTACTTATTTCTAAATATCTATATAGTCTACAGGGATTCCCCTCAATTTCTGGGACAATTTGGAGTAATTTTATGTCGAACTGGGGGGCACTATTTCTACTGGGGGTCGTCATTATTATCTTTTCTATAGTGTCGTTTGCTTGTCTTATTTCTCTACTTCCTAATTCTATGCTTGCTATGCGATTAGCGATTTGATCTGCACTATCACCTTCGAATTGATGTACTGGTCGGGGCGAGCCACTCATGAAAAAATAAGGATACAATGAGCACTTACTGATAGGTCCAGTACTTCATCCCGTTCTTCTCCTAGGTTCCTCAGGTGGACGTCGACTTCAACAGGACAAAGGGCACTTATGGTCCAAATTCTTTCTTCTTTCTTCAGTCGTACCGGCTCGTCACGGAGGTTCGTGATTCTCAATTAAGAGTTCGGACTCAAGGGCTAATCGGCGAAAATCCCTTTGGGAGCGTAGGTTCGAATCCTAGTGGCTGCGCCAATTCTGTAGTCGGAACTTCAAACTTCGTTTTTAAAAAACTTTATTTGGTTCCAACAATAGTTTACATGGACCGAACCGGAATTACAGTGTGTGTTCGCTGTGACTGAGATTGAATGACTGACTCATCATTAAGATACAATCGTTAATATAAACCAAAAGTGATGAGGTAGTAAAAAGGAATAAAATGCAATTATTATATCAATTAATAAAGTGTTAAATGACAGCAACATAACTAGGGGGTTGCTGCGCTAGAACTCTGCGTTTTTTTTTTTCACCTTTCTGGGAATTTCTGAAGTTTCCAAGGTTTTCCAAACCAAGGGTAGTTTTTTCTAATGGCACATCGAGTTGTGGTTTTGAAATTGTACAGGGTATTAATTTTTGGTATTTCGGAGGCATTTCTCCCCTTTTTCCGCAACCAATTGTAGTTTTTTCTCATAGAATCCCCAATTTCAGTGTTTGAAAATCATTAAACACCATTGGTTGCATAAATGTATGAGGCTTGCTGTGCTAGAGTGCCATTTACTTTTCGAATTTTCTGGCGCTATAACGGGTGTTAATAAAGTATGTAGACAAACTTTAACGATCGAATCCTTGGTCAGTCTGAAGACTAAATGTTCATATGAACATGGGTCCGTATGGGCTTTCTTTCCGAGCTAGAGTACTATCACTAAAGAAATACGAGTACCTAATGTTCCAAATATTTCTGTGAATAATGAAGTCAGTCTGAAGACTAAATCTTCATATGAACATGGGTCCGTATGGGCTTTCTTTCCGAGCTAGAGTACTATCACTAAAGAAATACGAGTACCTAATGTTCCAAATATTTCTGTGAATAATGAAACATATTTATTGAACAGTTGGTATAACCTATGATAAATTTTGCATGTTTTACAAGTTGCTGAGGCTCAATATGAACGTGGATGAAAATAGTGCTATTCTGAATTTTTGTAAAAAAAAATTATTTATAAGGTCAATAGTTTTGAACAGTAACATTCGAATAGAAAATATCGAATAGTTTTTTTTACAATAAATGTTCGAAGTGGCCACGAATTATTTGAGAAAATAAATTTAATTCAATTGTTTTTGGGTACGTCATAGGTGTCTAGATTAACACAATGCTTACCATAAATATTAAAAGTATTGCAATCAAAACAAATCAATGTCATGCTATTTTTTCAAAAAATACCGGATAACATTACCCGTATCTACATACATGGAGGGTCTGAAAACAACTGTAAATCATGTCATATTTACCATTTACCACAGGATATAATAATTAAAATAAAATCCATTCCATTCTTCTATAATTTCTTAGAACAATATTATTTCTTTTAGTGCTTGAAAACAAAGCTGTTGCAGACCCATGTGCATATGGAAATTTCGTCTTCAAATTGACCAAGGATTCGAAAGTTAAAGTTTGTCTACATACTTTATCAAGACCCTGTTTGTAATATGCTAGTGAATTCCCTCGTGGATAGTTGATGCAGATTTTTTTTTAATTCTGGAAATTTTGCAGAGCTATTGCTAAAAACTATTGATAACTTTAGCACTATTCATTACCTTGAGAATCCACATCTCATAAGTCTTTTTTACGTAAAAGGGATGCGGCGTGCAATTAGCACCCCAAAACTTTTTTAAAATGCCACAAAAAACTGCAGAACTATTCTCGCACCTCCCTGAGAACTGTCGAACTATATGAAAGTAGTTAGAACTCTGACAATAATTAAGGGTGCTGCAACTTCCAGCCTCCAGATTAAAGGGGGATAAAGTTATTTACAAGTTTGTATAAACGTCCTTTGTTTTTCCACTGGAGGTAATTTCACAGGGAGGTAGTTTATAGCCAGTGGTTATGAATGCACTTTAAGGCAGGTTCATAATTCATTGATGCAAGCTAGCAAGTGCATTTTCATTTGCTTTCAATAGCAAGACTTCAAAATTTGAAATCCGCTTACTGTGCAAATTGGGGGCGTAAATTCAGAATCTGACGACAGTATGACGCTATTGCTCATTGGGAGGGTACAATCGACTCATTTTCTACATTAAGATCGACACCACCACGGTTCACAATCTTTTTAATGTCGTATTTTAATTTAGCACTCCAGATTGCCTGAATGCATCAAGTTTCATTCACTTGTAACAACAGGTGACAAAAAAGTATGCTTCGATATTTCAAGACTTCTATAAATATATTCACAAAATGTGCAGAATCCAAATCCACAATTTATGAAACTCCCCTATCCAATATTATTCACTAAACGGTCACTGTTTTAACTTGCCAGGGTAAAAGAGACACTTCTATAGTAAGGTGAGTTCCAATTCTACACAAATACTAATTTTTTTCTAACTTAGTTCCCGTTCTCCACGGAAACGTCGTCGTCGCAGCCCGACTCCTCGGCCTACCAAGATCCACATCGGCCGCCTGACCCGCACTGTGACCAAGGAGCACATAATGGAGATATTTGGTACCTATGGCACAGTGAAAACTGTTGAGTTCATTAGGGATAATTTGCACGCTCATCTAGGTAGAGGGTACTGCTATGTGGAATACATGACTGCTGACGAAGCTGAGAATGCCATGAAGCACATGGATGGAGGACAGATTGATGGACAGGAAATTACCGCGGCACCAGTTTTGATACCCAAACCTAGGTATGTAGGAAACTGATATTTTTTTAACAAAATTGCATTATTAGTAGCTCAAGTAGATTGTCTATAAGAATTTTTCAAGGATGACGTTGATTATAAAGAACCTATTTTAAATTCATACATCGAATAAATCATTTACATCTTCTGTCAAAACATCCCATACAATTTGATTTTTTTTATAAGGATGAATGTACATTTCATGGTACATTTCACCATCCCAGAATAAAGGTTCCTCATGTGCGGCGGACATCGCAGAAGTAGAGTCACATTATGCTAAGGACAGAACGTGAAAATCTTATTACGTCATACTAGAAGTTATTTCGCCACAGCTTTGGTGCTAAACTTTGCATTTTGGATGGCAAGCGGGGTGTCCACGAATTCGTTTTTATTTGTCCGGCTACTCATTTTTTTCCTGAAGTGCTCATTCTTATCACTATTTTGGGATGTTTCACAATGTAGTCAGCCATCCCCTAGATACTCAGATCCATCAAGTGTGCTTACTTAATGTAGCAGTCATAACGTCAAGCCACATAATAATCATGATGGTTTTCTAAACCTTGACATAGCAACTGTCACGTTTTAGGCGCCTTGTTAGCAGAACACTTGTTGAGAGAAGCAGGGTATGGATAGAAGCTCAGTAAGAGATACATATGTAGGGTACAGGGGAAAAACATGAATGTCATAAAAAGGAAGTTTTGGAAAAAGCGTATTTAAAAGTTTGAAGACTCCTAGACTCGTTGTACTAGTAGGTAAAAGGTCTGACATAGTACCATAGATTCCTTATTATGATGATTTGAAAAAAGTTGAATTATAAATAATTTTTTTTATATACCAAGTAGCCCATAAGTGAAAGCAGACTAAACATTTTTTCAATGGAGAATCGTTTTTATTTTTGTACTTCGAGATTTTCTTTATGATTTTAAACATTTTGTATGTGTTAGCGTCTATGCCTAAAATCAGCTTTTTCTGAGATATTGATGTTAGAAATGAGCATTTTGTAATATACGACACCCTGGAAAATCTAAGGTTTGATTAACCAGTAAATGTCTATCTTAGGTTTTACGATCTGTTCTAATATGAGAACAACCTTAACAGGAAATTTATTACGTAAGGCCTAGAACATGAGAAAAATGTGATTTTCTAACCTCAATAGCTCAAACAGAATTATTTACAAGCACAAAACATCAAATTTGTGACATTCATCTTTTTTCCCCTGTACCCTTCATATATTTCAATCTTGAACTCAACTACTTGGAATATTCTGATGGAAAATATGCTTTTCTATCCCCAGACCTCCGCCGCCTCGCCGCTCTCCTCCGCCAATGATGCGTCGTCCTCCACCGCCTCTGCACCGTCGCACACCGCCCCGTTTTAGGCGTCGCTCGCCCCGCCCACCGCCTAGGCGTAGTTCTCCGCCGAGAAGGCGTGGCCATTCAAGGACTCCGCCCCGTGGCGGACGCAGGAAGCGCTCAAGGTCGAGCTCGAGCAGCAGTAGATAGCCGATTGGGGCGTCACAGCGGCAGAAGGGGCTGATCTGTCCGTTTGTAGGGTGGCCTGTGTAGAAGAGCTTCGAAATCGGCAAGAAAAGGTTTTGTGTCATGGTGGGAGACATCATTGCTTAGTTTCTTGTACAATGATTGTTCAGGGCTGATTTTAGTGTTTCATGATTTATTGTAGATTTGACGTTCTGCTGCATTTCAATGTTGTCTTGTAGACATGAAATTCTTGCAGTATGAACAGTTTGAAAATATGTTTTTGCATATATTGCAGTATAAGGTTTTTTGCTTTCCATGAACAAATATACAAGAAGCTAGAATATGTAGATCTCCAGCAGATATGTAGTGTCACTTCTCTTAGTTTCTCAACAGTGTTTATTACCAAGTTGAGCAATCTTTGGCGTTTACCATATTGTGTTGTTTATGTGAACGCTGGAGTTTCTTTTTATGCCGAAAAATCCTCATCCAGTTTTTGAATGTCTACCGCCAGTCGAAAAATTTATAAAAAATCATATTGAAGAAATCCTGCATTAATTTGTTAGAAGTGATAAATTTTGATGAATAAGATGTTTGGGTGGATTCTATAAAATCGTCCAAGAATATTCCAATTTCTTTTATCATTTGTTAAGACAAGTATAAACTATATCAATATAGATTTATTACTTTATAGCATGTCCTAATGTAAATCTGTGAAAACGTTTTCATCCATAAATTCTTACCAACTATTTGGAACTTATGACAATTTTTTTTATTAAGGCGGGCTTCACAGACTAGTCAACTTAAAGTTAGTAAATATTTGAATGCCAATTTATTTCTTGTTCTCCTAACCCCAAATACTCTGGGAACCCCGCCTCAAGATGATTATCATTTCTGTTGCTAAATCTTCACATTAAAAATTCTTTCGCAATTAATTATAAGTTTTAGATCTTAGAATAATTGATGTTAAGGGAATTTTCTACATTTTTTGTTTTGTGTAACCTGATATTTTTACTATTTGGATAACTGATTTGTAATTGTATATAATGTAATGCATTAAATGATACACATTCGTATAATTTCCCAAGTTTTATTAATTTTTTTCATAATAATTATTTGCAGTAATGAAGGGTTTTCCATTAAGGACTTGACAACTTTCCTTTTAAGTAAAACGCAAATCATTTGAGATACCTCAAAAATTTTATTATTGGATTGAAGTATACTCGAAACATTTATGCATGTAATTCGACCTCGTTCATATGTTCACCACGGGCACGTTCGCAGCGATCGATTCGTTGAACCCAATTTTCAATGACTCGACCACACATTTCGACAGAATCGGCCGCTATCTCTCGTTCAATATTGGCTCTGAGCTCCTCTAATGACGCCGGCTTGTTGACATAGACCAATGATTTAAAGTAGCCCCACAAAAAAGTCTAGAGGTGTTAAATCACATGATCTAGGCGGCCATTCGACAGGACTACCCGTATTTCTCGATATAACACGTTCATCGAATTCTGATTTCAATATACCGATCGTTTCACCCGCTGTGTGACTTGTGCCAGCGTCTTGTTGAAACCGCATATCGTTAATGTCCAGCCCATCCAATTGACCAAAAAAAATAACGTTGCAACATGTCTGTAGCGAATCTCCGTTGACTGTAACGTGACGATCATTTTCATCATCGAAAAAAAAAAAAAACAGCCCAATGACACCACCGGCATGAAAGCCACAGCATGCAGTTATTTTTTGTGGATGAAGTGGTGTTACTTGAAGCACATGAGGGTTTTCACCTGTTTGTTGACGAAGCCGTTTAACCAAAAACGCGCCTCATCACTGAAGATGATTTTGCGTTGAAATTGGTCATTTTCTTGCAACATTTCTAGAGACCAATTCGAGAACGTACGTCGGTTCATATGCCCAAATGGCTTCAGTTCTTGAGTTAACTTGATCTTGTAAGGGTGCAGGCCAAGATCTCTTCGCCATAGTGTAGTCTGAGCGATGCCCAATTCTTGAGAACGCCGTGGAATCGACGGAACCTTGAACGGCAGCAATATTGTCGGCACTTTGACCAACCCGTTGTCTTACTGGCACGGGAACACCAGCAGCGAATTTGTGGACTCAATTTTTTTTACTAGACTATGAATTGCTTGTCTACTGGGACGAGAATTACGTCCAAAAATGGGCGTTAACTCTCTTAAAGTTGCAGTCACCGACTCGGAATTTCGGTATTAAATTTTAATTATTTTTGTAAGCGTTGTTCGTTCGAGTACTTCACCATGATGAAAATATTTTCTTTACTGAATATTTTGACAGTTCAGTAATTGATTTAAAGGTGCGTGAAAGTTCAAAGTTGTCAAGTCCCTATTGGAAAACCCGATATTACGAACAAAATAATACTTAGCTCAGATCAGGAATACATCTTTAGGAAAATAGATTTTCAGTTTTCACACATATGACTACTAATTCGGTGGACTGGTTTTATTTAAAAAAGAAACATCTTACGAATTTATAATATAAAATCTCGGTATCACAATATTGTTAAGGCCCTATTTTAAAATAAACGCTATACAACTGATTAGAGAGATCACGATAAGGAAATAGTTTTATTTAGCATTTTGCACAAAATATGTTTATTCAAACATAAATGGTTCAAATAAAAATCTTTTATGAGATGATAAATCATATAAAATTGCCTATCAAAAATCGACTTATCAGAATTTGACGAGGTATAACATAAACTTATAGGCTTCACGATCAACCAGAAATAAAAGAAATACTTTACTACCAATTTCATTAAGCATTCTTAACCTTAATAAAAGTAATTACTTGGCTAAATTTTCACGAAATAAATGAGTATCTTATCAGTATGTTTCATGAGATTGTTACTAATGGTTTGCTATATAATTTTGACTTAGGTGCGGACTTTTTCCTCAAGACATTTCCTTCATTCACGATTTTGCTTTTAGGTCCTAAAGGAATGATTCTAATTTGATCCATATATCTATAAAATTCCAAAACGTCAGGGTTTGCCCAAACTTGACTAGCCTTAAAATCCAAAACTCTCAATGAATCTAAGCTCTGTGCCCTACTCAAAGCCACATATGCCTGTCCAGCTTCAAAAACTCTACCTAAGGACATTTCAACACAATCCAATGTTAGTCCCTGCGATTTGTGGATGGAGAAAGCCCAAGCCAGTTTCAAAGGTAGCTGAACACGAGTGATGGATCCCCCAGATGCTGATTTTACCACCCAACGTTCTTTCTTGAGGTGTAGTTCCTTGTTTTTGAATAGGACTACTGGTAACCCTTCCGTGAATGATTTTACGACGCCTCTAGCGCCGTTCACTAGACCTGCGGATACGTTGATGTTCTTTAAGAGCATCACCTGTAAAAAGTGGCATATGTCACATCAACCACATAAAAATGTTTATCAAATATCTTGTAATTATCATTTATAAAGTAAAAAATAATATATTTCCATCAAGTCTAACTAATTTAACATTAACAAATGCCGACCATCATTTACATAATACCAGAAATAAAGATGACTTCCATTTAATGAGCAAAAAGTATGACATATGCTACAAATCTGTATTCCATCAAGGGTTCATTGAATATCACAAATTATACACAGATAAGAGACCAGAAAACTTTGACAAAATTTAAAGTAAAATTGAGGAATCACTTGTTAAATCTACAATTATAGCTTGCCCAGCATTTACATCATATGGCTTGAATTTACTAATTCTAAGTTGTTTATGTAGCCAAATGTGCTAAATAAATATTTCTACTACTACATTCACTTACACCGGATTGTGTGACTGAATATAATATAACCTTGAACAAGATGTCCACTTATATTTAGATGTTCACATGCAATATCCATCAAGGTAGCCATGTTGACAAGATAGAGCTCAGTAATTCTCTTCGAAGTCGTAAAAACAGACTCTATTCCAGTTTCAATGAGAAATATTGAAAATTACATCAATATTCCAAAGAAAGACCACCACCCAACATCCCTCTTAACTATGCCTAGAATTTCGTAATATCGGCAACGGAAAAGGAAATCTCATAACCTACGGCAACAGTCCAAGGAGACAACACTGACACCTAAAGACGGTATTCAATGCATAAATAGTTATAGCCGACTTTCAATTGGATTGGGTGTCTTTTAGTGGAATATGTTATACATCATATAAGGAAACGTCTCGAACCCTTCAACAAGAGAAATGTTTCCTCCGATCACATTTCTAGGTTTCTAGTTTCCTAACTCATTTTTTTACTCCATTTATAACCGAACTTGTACAGCTCCTTAGGCCCGTATCGCCAGTCGTCCCTACAATTGTAAGGCGCCTTGATGGCCTCCTTGATTGTCATAGTTTTCTACTTCTCCGTGTCAGAACTCTACTTTGAGGTTATGTCACAAACATCTATTTGCATCAAATTGTGCTTGCTTTTGAGTTGTATCATGTTTTATCAGCCTGAAATTTCCTACAATTTAAAAAGAAAACATATCTTCACAATAGGAGAGCGCTGACGCTGACACGGGACAAGTGTAATCTAGAAATTTTTGAAGGAGGGAAAGGAGTATGACAATCAAGGAGGCCATAAACGCGCCCTACAATTGTAGGGACGACTGGCGGTACGGACCTTAAACTCGCTACTGACCTGAGCTCCAACTTTAAGTTCCAACTTGCTGGAAACAGGTGTCTGTTGATCCAACATATTTGTGGTTCCTGGCACAGAGTCCTGAGCTTCAAACAATATACAGTGTCCAGGCAACGCCTTTAGCTTAGATTCGTTTATAATGTCTGCATCTTTGGTGTGCGAACATAATCTCGTTGCGAGGATGCCGTCACGCTCAATCGTTTGCTTAGAAGTTGACATCAAAGCATCCGTGACTTCTTCATCTACGTGTCCTAGAAAAAGAGATACTATATGGTGTTCATTTGAAAACTTCCTACCACTTATTTATCGAAAACCACTGAATAAAGGAAAAAACGCCGAGACACGTCAAAAGATTTGTCAAGGGGGACAACTTTTTAACCAGAAACTATGTCACTCCCTTTCAATGGCAAGGAGTATCGAGTAATAGCTTGTTTGAAAGGTCTTTCGAAGTCCTTTGTTTTGACGTTTTATTTTTTAAAATCGGTCGATCCGTTTTCGAGAAAATTAGCATAATCTTTATTTATCTTAATTTGTTCAGATAGAAAACAAAAACACACGAAAATATCACTTTTTATTTCAATGTGTTCAAAGTGATGCCCGTTAGGGTTTACCAAATCTATAATTCGTTTAAAATTTAAAACAGAATCTATCAATATAAACAGCAATTCGGAAGATTAGGCGTGGCAACAACCAAATAACAACCCGAATTTTTGGCCCGCATTCTTTTCATCAATACTGATATCTTAGGCGAACTGTATTTATTGTTATACCTGTTTAGTTATTTGTTGCTAAGGGAAAGAAAGAATTTAATTTGCTATCAGTTATCTTTGTGACAATCTTGGGATAGTGAAAATTAATTTATTGATTCAGATTTTACCGCATAGGTATGTTTTGGACCTTGTGACTAAATTTACTCAAACTGGATCTGTTGCAAATATAAAACGTGATCATCGGAGAGTGTCGGAAGAAACCGCTCAAGTTGAAGTTTTGGGTCATTTTAATATAATACTTCTTTAAGTAAAATTGTTGCTGCGACTGGTATTTCATCAGGCTCTGTACACACAGTTACTAAACCCCATGAATTTCATCAAAATGAAAATGTTGCAAGAGCTAACCGAAGATGATTTTGGTAAGTGAGTTGAGTTTTGTGAACAAATCGCTGCAGCGATTAATGATAATACCATTCATGTAAAGAATATCTGCTTCACTGATGAATGCATATTTTATCTAAATGGATTAGTTAATAAGCATAATGCAGGTATTGGAGTAATGAAACACCTCATGCTTTTGTAGAAGGGCATACCCAGTACCCCCATGTATGGGCAGGCATTTTAGAAAACAAAGTGATTGGCCCCATTGTTTATTAATGGCAATTTGAATGAAGACATTTATTTGGATATGTTGGAAAATCCGCTTACCACTGAATCCATTGAAAACCAAATTAAAGAGGATGGAAATCCTATAATTGATGAGGCTGAAATATATTTCCAGCAAGACGCGCTCCTCATCACTATATTCTTCCGGTTCGGCAATGGCTAGACGATGAGTTTCCAGATAAACGGATAGGGCGAGGAGGGTCTATAGAATGGCCTGCTAGATCTCCTGATTTTAATAATAATAGCTTTTATTTGCAGTAAAAAAGTAAATAGGATACAAAATAGGGAAAAAACAACAAATGATACTTTCTGCAAAATGGACCAGCAAACAGTCTAGGACTGTGACAAAAAAAACAGAGATCACCTTTTTATAGCCGTCTACGGATAATACAATTTCAACCAATTCATTCCAAAATTACAAAAAAAGGGAAGAGAATTGAAGCACAATATGACGCCATTAGACTTTTTTCTACGGGGCCATTTGAAATCGATTGTCTTTACTCCCCAATCTGAAAGTATGGATTAACTTCGTCAACGCGTCATCGAAAGCTGCCATGATATCCCACATATTTTTGAAAATGTCCATCAGGAATTTGAACATCGCCATATATTTTGGCAAACAAATGGTGGTATACCAATCCGCAGTAACAGTTCCTTGCTATGTTTCTATATGCAAAACTTAAAAGACATCTCTCGTATCATATACTAAGGAGATAATAAATCGCCATTATGTAGCATACGCCATATTGGATTCAAAATAGTAGTAGTAGTAGAAAGATTTATTTAGCACATTTGGCTACATAAACAGAATAATTGTAAACAACTTAGAACTAGTAAATTCAAGCCATATGATGTATGATGTAAATGCTGGGCAACCTATAATTGTACATTTAACAAGTGATTTCTCAATTTTACTTTAAATTTTGTCAAAGTTTTCTGGTCTTTTATCTCTGAGTATAATTTATTATATTCAATCAACCCTTGATGGAATACAGATTTGTAGCATATGTTATACTTTTTGGTCATTAAATGGAAGTCATCTTTATTTCTGGTATTCTGTAAATGATGGTCGACATTTGATGATGTTAAATTTGTTAGACTTGATGGAAATATATTATTTTTTACTTTATAAATGAATATCATTACAAGATATTTGATAAAAATGTTTACATTGAGTCATTTTAATTTGCTAAGCATTTGCCTAATTGGAGTGTATTTATCCTCATTTAGTATTATTCTCATGCATTTATTTTGTAAAATTTGCAGTCTTTCAAAAATGAATTATTTGCTAAATATAGAATAATCGAATAGTACAAGAAATTTGGAAGAATGATGGTATTATAAATTATTATATAAAATTTTTCTGCTATATGAACTCAGACATCCAGAAACTCTCGATAAATATCCCACTTTACTACTAATCTTATTTATAACTTTTTCATAATGAATATCAAAAATTAATCGAGAGTCAACAAAAACCCCCAGGTATTTAAAATTTTCTACGAATTCAATATCTTCACCATCAATATTCAGTTGAACATTTGTACATTGATTTTTTTCCTATTAACAAGGCTTTCGTTTTACTTGTATTTAATTTTAGGCTGTTAGATGCTAACCATTTTGAGACAAGTTTCAAGTCTTCATTTATATAAGAGATACCAGTCTGAATATTTTTATTACTTATATAAATCATAGTGTCATCGGCGAAAATCTGAATTTTGCATTTTTTGACTATGGCAGGTAAATCATTTATGTATAAAATAAAAAGAAGTGGTCCCAGGATACTGCCCTGTGGAACACCCAACGTATTTTCAATTTTTGATGAAACAGTGTCATTAACTTTTATAACTTGCATCCTTTTAGACAAATAATTTCTAAACCAACCTAAAACACTTCCTGTTATACCATATGCCTTCAATTTACCTAACAAAATATCTCTATCAATCGTTTCAAATGCCCTTTTCAAATCCAAAAATACTGCTATGACAACTTCTTCTGAGTCTATGGCTCTTCTCCAATTCTCAGTTACCAACTGGAAAGCCGTTTCTGACGAATATTTTTTACGAAAGCCTGCTTGCGCCTCCACTAAAATTTTGTTTTCTTCTATAAACTGCATTAATTGGTCAAGCACTATGGACTCTAATAATTTTTCAATGTCTGGTAACACATTTTTTTTTTTACATCTCGTATTGTTAAGGGGGTTAGATGGTAGAATAGATATATAATCTAAATCTCGCCTCCTGTAAGAATATTACAAATAAAAGACGTTAATTATTATTATTATTTACTGGTCTCATATCGCTGTATCTTTTAGAATTTTTTATTTTGGGAACTGGTGTTATTGTAGACCATTTCAAATTTTCAGGAAAAGAACTGCTTCTCAGTGAACAATTGATCCAATTTAATACAGGATATCCCAAAATTTCGAAACAGTTTTTCAGCACGTTTTTAGTAGTGATTTCGGCACAGTTGTTATTTGATTTTAAACTGTTTACTTTTTTCTTAGATAATTCAATGATACGCTGTGAAATTTTGAAAGTGTATGCAACATTTCCCCCTTTAAACTGATTATCATATAGTCAGGTGCAGCACTGGCAGTACCCACAATATCAACAATACTTTCCACAAAATATTCATCTAGTTTGTTTGCAATCACCAAAGAATTTGTTTCGGTACCGTTTTCGAATTGAACTTGATTTACACAATCATGCGGCTTCGAATTGACCAGTCTTTTTAAAGTCTTCTACATCTTTACACTGTCTGACTTGTTATTATCGATTTGTTTATCGTAGAATTTCCTTTTTTCTTCTCTAATTACATACACACATTTATTCCTAAGAGATTTATATACCTCCAATCATCATCCGATTTTGTGAATATAGATTTATTGTATTGTTTGTCTCTCAAATTTTGAGCTGCCTTATTATTCTTGTTATACCAGGGTGTATTTTTTGTCGGCAGTTAATTCTTTATCTATTGTTACACGAACCAGACAGGCATACAAAATTTCAGTTTGACTGGCTAAGGTTAATTGGTTTAAAATTCTGTTTCAGGATTTGTCCCACACATGCATATTAACGAAATAAGATATAATAACAGTTAACTTGTGCAAGGCTTGTAAAAAGGGTCACTGTCAATGCAATTTATACTGAAATCCCAGCTCAAATTAAGCCAGGAGAAAATGAAGACGGTTCAGGGTAAATTCGTATTGTCTGTATCTCCAATCATACTCTGAATTGCCAAACTATCTAAGTAACATTTTATTAGTCACCTAAATGCACTAATTTGCCTTCATAAACGATTTTATATTGTATTGCTTACCGTTTCTGAATTTGAAATCCCTAGTGCATATATATATATATATATATATATATATATATATATATATATATATATATATATATATATATATATAGAGTGCTTTTAGCAAAGGTGAATTAAAATTCAACGTAAATTTCAAGTAATCCTAGTAATTTCTCATGTAATACATATTGGCTCAGCTTGGGGAGAACCCTGTACATTAATAACTTTGTCATAGTTAATTTTTATAAACAAATTCACTTCATTTAATTTCGTGGGGTTTGAGAGAATGAGGACAGCTCCTTCCAAAACGTTCTTAAACTACAATATGTACAGCAAGAGCGAAAATAGTGAGAAAAGTGAATGTTTTCAACGAAAAGTAAGATGGATCACAAGCATCCCTGGGAAGAACAAAGTGAGTATTTTCAATACAAGGTCTGTAAATTATGTGATTGTAGGGGAACACATGACATATGATCCACCTTCAGCACAAGTTTGGACTCGCTCGAGTCATTTGTTTGTTCGTAGCGACCCTGTTCTATAGATAAATCAAATCTAACACAAGTAGAGCTAGAAAAAATAATTGGTGTTACCAACAATTAAAATGTCAAAAAACACTATAGATAAAAGAGAAATATGCTACAAAAACTCGGAACAGCTTGCTCCAGGCTTGATCACAGTGCAACGGAAACTCTTGCTCAAGAGACTAGGTTTTTCGGTGGTTTAAGGCATTTTCAGAAGGACAAAGGTCGACTGAAGATGAATCACGAAGCAGGTCTTCAACTTCAAGAACCGATGAAAATATCGACAAAATCCGGGATCTTGTGCGATCGTCAGTTGACAGAATGATCAGCGAAGAGTTAAATTTGACTCACATCACCATTTATCAGATCAAGAACAACTGGCTGCTGCATCCCGATCATGCTCATTGACACAGAGCAATGTCAAAAAACGAGTTTTTGGCCTGTAAAAACATTCCTGTGGCTCCTCAACCTCCTTATTCGTCTAACTTGAGACCTTGTGACTTTTTTCCCATCCTGGTGTTGAAAAATCACCTCAAAGGGAATTTTGGAAAAGTCGAAAGCAATCAAACGACTGCAACTGACCAGCTGAAGGCTATTCCAGGATCAGAGTTCCAGCACTGCTATGAGGAGTGAAATAACCGTCTCCAGCGCCGTGTGGCTTCAGAAGAAAGTTATTTTGTGTAGGACAATATCAAAATGTAATTATATTCGAATAAAAAAAATAAAATCTTTGTTATCTGCCATTTTGTCGAACTGTGAAGAAATGCGACATTGACCTTTCGACATTCGAGAACACCCTCCCCGGGTGAATAGAGTGTGTACATTCAGAATCTGAAGTCATTTTGCGCCGGCTAGAACACACAGATGGTCCCTAGCGGCCCGATTTTCTATCTTCCTACAATACTTCACATGATGTTATACGACAATCATATTCGAGTTTGGTACACCGTATCACCTAGGTGTACAAAGTTTTATTTGCTTAAAACAATAGGACATAAACATTTAAATCTAGACCTCATACATAACTTCATACAAAAAAATCTTCCAAACGCCTACTGCTTTGTGGTCTGATCGAAAACTCTTTATATGGCTAAATCAGGTACATTCCTGTCAGCTATGGTTATATGCAAATTTTTTGGAATCGTTAAGGCTTGAAATGACAGAGAGAGTAATAATGAAGGGATACTCACCAATTCTAATTTTATTCAATATCTTGATGAACCTGTCATCAGTCTGTCTATGCACTCTTTTCAGCTCAAAGGTATTGAACCTGCAACTCTCCCAGGCATTCGTCTTAAAGCAAAATTTCGGTGGTGCAGCTTTAGATTCCCCAAGTTTTGGTTTAGACACTGGAGGTAATTGGAAAAAATCACCACAAAGAATTAGCTGAAGTCCGCCAAAAGGTTTCTCGTTGTTTCTTACTCTTCTTGCCACCTAGACAAGCAAGAAAAAAACAAGTTTGTTACAGACAATACTCATGTTCATTATTCTTTAGTTTGCACCACTGTCAAAGAGTTTAGTTAGTACACTATGGATAATTCAGTCTTGTACACGTCTTAGCACCATCTGTGATAGCACCATCTGAAGAAAGTGATCCTAACTAAGCGATCTTAAACAAAAATCTCTGTACAGGAAACAACACAGTTCAACTACGCTTACGGATTCTGGCTCCGAACGCCGAGAAACGCGTGTGCTGCAAAAGCAGAAAGGCCAAATTTAGCCTTATTACAGAGTCGAAAATCAAATTTTACGCGTACAATCAATCAAGTGGTGTGGTAAAATACTATTTACTAACTAATTCCTCTGTGTTAAATAACCTCTCCCGTTCTTGGTGACTTATGTTTCTCTACAAAAAAAAGAGGAACGTATATGAGTAAAGAAGTATGGAAACTGACTCTGGGGGGAGTCGTTCCTCCGACCCAGATCTATAGATAATATAAATCTAACACAAGTAGAGCTAGAAAAAATAATTGGTGTCAACAGCAAAGAAAATGTCAACAAAAAAGACCATAGATAAATATGGAGTATGCTACAAAAACTCTGAACAGGGACCATTCGTAGTTTTTGTGGAAGCACTGTAAGTCAAAGAAGGTATCTACAGTTAGCAAAAGATATTTTTCACCTAAATCTTACTGACATTAAACCCATACAAGTCAAGGTAAGGGACAGGCTGAGCGACGAGTTCCTAGATTAAAATTCAGCAAACAATTTTGCAAATAAAGAACACAAAGGGTATAATATATACCTACATACCATTCAACAAAGTAACATGTAAGGGAATCATAAGTCAAGTTGATACAAGCTTCTCAATTGAAGAGATCATCAGCGCTATTTAATTACCAATGAAAGTGTTAGATGCAAAAAGACTCAACAGAAAAAACATAACAAATGACACTCCTCCAAAATACACGCCCACTGGAACCATACTAATAACATTTCAAGCCACAGTACGGCCTAGAGATGTATCAATTTATTATCTTCTCTTTCCCGTCTTTACATATATACCTCCCGTCACGCAATGTTACTTTTGTCTCATTTATAGAAACACTAAGACCCAGTGCAAGGGAAAAAGAAAATGTTTTAATTGCAGTAATCCGAATATAATGAATAGGAAGACGACTTTCTTTGTCAGAGAAAATGCTCATCATTATGACAGCCTGGAACATAGATCCAATTCTAAAGATTGCCCTAAAATGTACACATCCCAAAATAATACGAATAACACAACAACTGACTTAGCTTACACCACTATAAATTTCCCTTCAATCATAAATCAAAATACCCCCTCCACCTCCGGAAAAAATCAAATAAACATTGCACAAAGAACATTTGAATTCGCCAATACAATAAAAACAAAAAGAACCTTCCAACAAGCATTATCACAAACACCAAAAAAAAAAAATAATAGTTGAACAAAATACGGTACTATAGAGAACACCACCACGAGAATCTAATAAACAGAAACGGAGTCCAAAGCAGTAGCGGACCAATAATAGTACAAGTACACAATAACGCCTGAAACACAGAATCACAATTTAACACGCCTAAGACGCCTACTAGTGCCCTTTACTGTAATAATAATAAAGATGATGTAGAAAAATGCCTTGAAATTATAAAATCCTTCAAACCTGATAACCAAATCAAAATAAAACAAATACTAGTTAACGAATTATACCAACTGACAACGAATTCTACTGAAAAGGTGTCTGTGTATATGTGTGTAAGTGTACATATACATGTCGTCGGTCTCCGAACGTACCGGCGTTTACAAATTTTACAGGAGAGCTAGAAAGCGAAAATCAAAAATAAGATTGAAAATGACATATTGTTTTTGAGTCTGCACGTTGCTGTTTTTTGTTAGACTAAAATTATGTAGAACTTTATCTTGGGATGGTTTAATTTTGTAAAAGTGAAATGAGTTTTAGCAGAGGCGTAAATCTATTTGAGCCGGTTCAACAAAAAATAGGAAAATGTTCTATTCATTTTCTCTCTCTCTCTCTATATATATATAAGTAAATAAAAATTATATATAGCCTAGTCTCAGTAGCACAAAACAGACACATCTGTAAAATGAACAGCAAATAGGCGTTGACTACTTTCCAGTGGAATTTACGGAGATACACTAGTAACAGCGCGAAGTTAATCCATTTAGAGAGATGGCTAAAAAACAACAGAGTTCGCACATTGGAGGCTATCAATGCACTAGAGCAGACTGAGACGATGGCAAAGGTGAAGCAGCTACATCGTTAAAAAATAATATCTACTATCAAAACATACGACTTCCCACCAATTTTAACATTGGAAACCTGCAATGCATTGTCACTAAAGCCTATAATATAAATTGTGATAATTTATACTGTCCTCGCTCGTGGGTGACGTGGTGTTGGTGGGTGACTTCAATGCCCATCACCCAGCATGGCATAGCAACAAGGTAAACTACAGGAGAGCTCTCTGCGAACTTATCGAGTCCAACAACCTCATTATAATGAAAGATGATTCCTCAACCAGATACATAGCACCAGGGGATAGTCCGAGCCCCCTTGACCTGACCATTGTGTCCAACAACTTGGCCACTACCACACATTGGTGCATTCAGCAGGACTGCGGAAATAGTGATCACTACCCGATTATTTGTGAATATAATTACGGATAAGGTAGACTACCAAACCCTTTTTCAAGTTATAAACATAGAAGCTGATCTTTCAATTCCCTATACCAAGCAAGTGAATAACACAAATGTCTCCAGGAGCCCACGGTAGGACTTTAAACTGGAGCCTAGCTTAAAAAATTATATTGAGTTGAAAAAAATCAATGCACAGACAAATAGATTCCTAAAAAAAGAACTCAAAAAAATTTGCCCCAACATAAACAGAAACACGAATTGCTCTTACATATGGAAATCGTTTAAAAAATTTAGTGACAAAAAAACGCATTCAATAAAAACTCATCATATCCACAAATATCCGAAAATATCATAGGAAACTTGACTGTGTGTAACCTGGCATTTACTGGGCTAGTGAAATCATATCTCGATCACGGCAGCATTCTATTACATCCCTGTAATCGAGAAGACCTTAATAAACTCCAGAAGACGTCATATCAAGGGCCTATGATCATAACGGGTACTATGAAGTCAACAACAACTAATACTTTGCTTGCAGAAACCGCGGAAATGGACTTACACCACAGGCGGGTCCGGTTATGCACCAAATTCCTGGCGAAAAAAAAAAGAATACAATCCCACCCCTAAATAACAACATTAAAAAAAACTATAAAGGCACTATGAGTCAGGTCAATGCTATTGAAGGAATAGAGTGCTCACCATCAGCATAGAAGCCCTTAAAATTTTTGAGAAGAATATAATACACAAACTCGAGCAGTGGAAGTTGTCCCCCTGAAAATCAACAAAAAAGACCAAAAGATCGAGTTCAGGAAGCTGTACAGAAAAGAAATACAACATTGAACTGGCTTGGATCCCAGGACACTCCAACATTCGAGGAAATCAAGCGGGCAGATAAATTAGCTAACCTAGGAAGACAACTCAGTATCTCGAGAGACACGCCACTTATCATCTCAGACATACTAACTAAGGCCAAAGCAACATTCAACAAAAAAGGCAGGTGGTATAAGAAAATCTTAGAATTTCCTGCCAAACCATTTTACACCAAAATCCCTCACACAAGTAGAAGACACCTAATAGCTATAATCAGAATGAGAACGGGACACGCAAGATATAAAACTCACATGTTTAAAATAGGAATGAAAGACGACCCCTTCTGTGATTGTAGCCAGTATGCAGACTCAAATCATTCGAATGTCCAATCAATCAAATACTAGGATTTAACCTATATGAAGAGATAAGGAAAACTGGATGCAATGCTTCCAATATTACTGAACAGACGTTTTGCCGTTATTCTGAAACAATTTTGAGAATCTGACACTTCGCTACAATTAACCAGGGCCGGCTTCAGAGTTGTCTGCACCATGAGGCAAAAGATGAAATAATCGTCTTCCCCCCATTAATTTAGAACAAAGAGATCGTCTAGGGGTGGTGCTATGAAGGAATGAAAATGGGCTCGCTGCATCAGTGTTTCCAAGAGTTAATGCTTTTCTGATAACTGAAGAGCAGGTTAGCATTGGCTGATCAGTCTCGATTTGCTCAATGGGCGTGGGCCATGACCTGCTCGTGGATCCGCTCTTGATTGCGAATTTTGCATCCCCTATAGCCGGCTCTGCAATTACCAAATAATGCTCTTGACATTTCAAGCAGTGATATTACAGTTAATATGGATCACCTACTTCAGATGATGCTCAAAGCAAGGTACATGCCATGTATACTACTCTTCACATCCTCTCACATTCTGTCAAGATATTAGTTCTCAAAAAATCCCCACATTACTATCGAGCATCAAAAACTCAGTTCACTTTTAATTCGTCACCAATTGCAGATTTGTTTGCAAAAACCACCGTGCGCGTGTGACCTAGAGGAAAGTCGTATTTTGGTCTCGTGGCCGCGTGTTTCGATTCACACGGGGTTTCGTGCCATTTCCTGGCTTTCTCATCATTGTAGTTAAAAACACTTGATTTTGGCTGCAAAACCCGCCATTCTGCACATTGATTTTCAAACCCCACCAACTAAATTTTATTTTTCTTATTTGACAGTGCTAATGCTCTCTTTGTTGTAATATGATGAATGATGTGTATTAAGAAACAGTATCTACATCAACAAGATATTAAAGTAAAATTCAATAGTATTAGGCAAAACAGTTTTCCCCATTTTTCTTTGGTATTGCACTTGGCGGGGTGTGCATTTAGTTAGCTCAAATATACTATTAGATATTTCAACTTCTTGAGACTATGATTACCTGTTCAATTTTTTCAAAATAATCTCCATCAACCATAGATATTTCATCAATGATAAGGTACTTGCATTTCTTCCATATACCCAGCGCAACTGGTTTAGATGCCAGTTGTACACTTCTTTCTAAGGATGCATCTCCATTACCAATACCAGCAAACTGGTGTAGTGTTATGCCTCCTATGTGGCATGCAGCAACACCTGTATAAAAAGGTATCAAGTAGATTAACTCTGTCCTTCTCATGCAATTCTGGGCAAATGGACTTTGAATATGTGTACAGTATCTGAATCAGCTTTCTCCATTCTAAGTGAATCAGTATTTGCTACATTACTTTGACCTGATCAAACTGATGACAGTGATGAGAGGTTCGTATTCTGTAAGTTCTAAGCTGCTATTTCATCAGTAGGTAAGTAAGCTTTAGCTGGATCATCTGATGAATGATGTGTTTTATTCGAAAGTATATAATATATATATATATATATATATAACTTGAGACGTGGTCATTGTCGTCTAGACCAGTTAGGTGAAAAATTAAAGCTTCCGCTTTTTGTTGGGTACTTCGACAAAATTTAAGCAAAGAGGACTCTTTATACTTTTTTTAATTCTCTCTAGCTTTCAATGGACTTTGCCATCATCATCAGGAGAGTAGTATGTGAGGATGTTGCTAATTGTTGTTTTCGTATAGGATGAGGGAAACATCCAGTAACATGGTGAGAGCTGGATACATGGTACAGTGGTTAAAATTAGTATTTGCTACATTACTTTGACCTGATCAAACTGATGACAGTGATGAGAGGTTCGTATTCTGTAAGTTCTAAGCTGCTATTTCATCAGTAGGTAAGTAAGCTTTAGCTGGATCATCTGATGAATGATGTGTTTTATTCCAAAGTATATAATATATATATATATAACTTGAGACGTGGTCATTGTCGTCTAGACCAGTTAGGTGAAAAATTAAAGCTTCCGCTTTTTGTTGGGTACTTCGACAAAATTTAAGCAAAGAGGACTCTTTATACTTTTTTTAATTCTCTCTAGCTTTCAATGGACTTTGCCATCATCATCAGGAGAGTAGTATGTGAGGATGTTGCTAATTGTTGTTTTCGTATAGGAAGTTAATGAATAACTTGTCTTGTCATATTTTATATAATTGTAACCACTGTACCATGTATCCAGCTCTCACCATGTTACTGGAAGTTTCCCTCATCCTATACGAAAACAACAATTAGCAACATCCTCACATACTACTCTCCTGATGATGATGGAAAAGTCCATTGAAAGCTAGTGAGAATTAAAAAAAGTATAAAGAGTCCTCTTTGCTTAAATTTTGTCGAAGTACCCAACGAAAAGCGGTAGCTTTAATTTTTCACCTATATATATATACAGGGTGACTTTGAAGTTGAGTCATTAATTTTCAGATAATGATTGTAGAAGGAAGATAAACCAAAATATGTGTGTAAAAATAAAAAAATAAATAAAAAAAAATGTTACCTTGTTTAATAAAGTATCGTCCCGACAAGTATTTCAGTGCGGACCTGTATTTGATCGTGCGGTCTTGGAGCAGCATGCCCTGACCTGTGAGGTCTTAAGTCACCTGATTCACGAGCCCTTTGTACTACATTAACAAAGGCACGAGGGGTTGGTTGCACTCGATTGGGAAACCGATTCGCATAAATCCGTGATGCATCCGGGAGGATTTTGTAAAGACTGCCCACCCGTAAATAAGAATCATGTCCACAAGTTCAGCATTTTCGTAAACATGTGCCATTTTTGATTTCGTTTGAGCCACGCAACAAACACTAATTCACTAACGCGTTATCGACTGACGAAAAACATCGTTTCAAATTCTTTCGCTTTTTTGTTTCCGATGCGATGAACCGGTCAGGCGGATTATATCCGTTGTCGCTAAACACGAACATATTATTATTGAGACAGGGCAGTACTCAAACTTCCAAAGGGCTATAACTTTGTTACTTTAATTTTACCAGAAAAATGGTAAAGGAAAAAAACATTTCTTTTGATCAGATCTACTCACTGTTAAAATAAATGACTCAACTTCGAAGTCTATATATATTTTTTTTGTTTGACGGATGGTTAAGTGTAAGAGTAGCACGTTGCTAAACTTTGTCACCATATGCAACTCTTGTTTCTATGTATGAAATTGTACAGTCTAAAAAAAGACAATTATTATTATTATTATTATTGCTGTCAAGCCTCTTTCTTATGAAACTGCTTCACAATAATAATTTTCAAAATATGAGAGTATCGAGTCAATTCTCATTGTTATTATTGCTTGTTGCTTTTTTTTAAGCACCTACCAGTAGATGCTGTAGCTACAGTAACATCAGGAGGTAGTGCCCTAATTATCCTCCTTAACAAGTAACTCTTTCCAGTTCCAGCACTGCCTGTGAAAAAAATATTGCGACCAGAAAGACAAGCATCCAATACTTCTTTCTGTTCAAAGTCCAATGGTTCATTTGATATAGGTGATGAGGTATACAATCTTTTTGCTGATGTGGGCTTGCTTGCACTAGGTCTGTCTACAAATACAAAATTGATGGTTAGATGAATGAAGTATTCAAAGTTAAAAAAAAGGCTTTACAACTTTGAATTGGAGGCATTATGATTTTCTTGCAGTACTTACCACTCCCTTCTAATTTTCGTTTTTTGCCTGCCAGGGGACTAGGTGTAGTATCTGAAGCTCTGGTAGCTTTTTTCATTGCATTATTAAGTTCTATAGTTGTTACAGGTGAAATCTCTTCAAACTGTTGGGGTTTGCTAGACAGCAGCTGTGTTCTCAGTGAAGTATTTGCGTTTGGTGCACTTTTTTCACCCGTCATTTTGACGAACATAGTTCTTAAGAAGGACAGCAAATCGCCAGGCGGTGCGTTTGATAAATACATGGTACAATTTAGTGGTTGAAATTTTATGGATGTTTTACCCTCGTTCATGAACTTTTTATGGACGGAAATACCTTTCAGTGATAGTTTTATTGAACTACACTTTTCTGCGCTAATTTGTACAAACATTTCACGCCTATCATCCCTAATAAGTTGTACAAAGCCTTTTTTGTGGGACACCTTTCTCTGCACAATTCCTTGTTTGTTTAGCCATTCTATGGTCACTGCACATGATAAAGTAGAACCGTTATCAACCATCGTATACAGTTTAATTCATAAATACACTAAAGAAATCTTCATAAACGCGATATAATAAATAAAGCACAGGCATATAGATGTTTTATCACAGAATTAACCTAAAAATTTTAAAAACCGCCAACCATCAAAAATTTGAACGATGACGTCGTCACAGTTGACGGACATGACAAAATTGACAAGTAAAGTGAGTGTACCGTGGGTTTGGTGATGATTTTGTCTTATGTGATTTGCGCAACTGCGACAGAAATCTTAAAATGGCGTCAGGTTTTGACGTTCATTTATCATTCTGAAATTAAAAAGCTGTATCTGTGTGATTTCAAGTGATATTTGTGCGAATTTTACAATTAAAAGACTTTCTAACGGTAGGTAAGTCCTTTCTTCGAGTTCGTTTCTAAGCGGGTACTGAGTATTATAGAGCCTTTACTAGATTGTATGGAATGTGGAATGGCGTCTCATATCTTTCTATTATGGTGTTCAGATCCACCATTAACAAACTGCTTATTTTGTTAAAGCGATCTTATGCAGCTATCGCAATTGCAATAAATACACATATCCGCAGGTGAACACTCAATTTTGCGTTTTATTATTTGATACAACCTGCTGATGTGTTGATTAACTATCGGCATTCAAAAGCAGGTGCAGGTATCTTGTATCTGACTATACGTAGATACTTCAAACAGAACGTAAACGACTTTGCAATGTGGCAATAATTGCCTGTTGCAGCAATAATGGATCAATAAACTATTTTTTTTTTAATTACAATGTGAGGACTGGGTCGAAAATAGGCACATTGTTTTGCTAGGCAATCTGCCTATATCTCCAATATTTTTATATTTTGCCGGTTTTTTTTTATTTTCGTTCGATAAGTGAGTTAATAGCACCTTTTCTATGGTAGGATTATAGAGCAGGTACTTTTGAAGTTCATTTTATACTAATCTTGACCCTGCATGATTGTATTTGTTATGATAAAAAAAATCTGTTGCCAAAGTTACCCAAGTAACAAGCAATGTTTGAATAATATATTCTTTGACATAATATGATTTGCTTATTATTATTGATTGAATATAATTGCTCCCTATGCAAGGAAAGCATTGTAATTGTTTTGTTTTTTAATGTTGCAGTGTTTCACAATGTCAGTACTACAAAAACTTAGAAACCCATTTTAGTCTGCTTGTCAACATCAACAGGTTTTGAGATTAGCATATAATCTCAGCAACTACTGTCTCACTTTTAATGCAGTGATTTTTTTAACTGAATCAGCCTAACCTTAAGAAGTTGAAATGACCCTCTCATGATTTTGGCCGAACTTTTCCTCTGATTAAAAAAGGTATTCTGGTCTAGGCGATAATTTTACTCTCCTTTACCCGTTCGCTATTAGGGGCGCCAGTGATTGAAATTCCTTGTATTGAGCATTTTTGTATTCGATATTTTTGTGTAACCCTCGTATTCAATTGAGACTTCGCCAAAACATAGCAAACCCTCCCAGTTCGGGACGAACCATGTTGCCAAATCACCAAGTTGTGATACTGGTAAATCATAATGCTCTTGAAATAGACCAGTAAATTTAGATATTTATGCCGAAACAGTTGTTTTTTTAAAGCAAAACATAATCATGATGATTTCAAGCTTGAATGCAAACGTGTTAGGAATAGGTATTAATATTAAGTTGGTAATTCTATGGGCCTCCAAAAGCTTTTCCACTATATATTCTGTTAGCACAAAAACCTGTTGGTGTCTAATAACCAGATCACCAGCAGACAGTTGATGAGGTTCTCCTCTGTCAATATGTCAGCAGTTTTTGGTCTTCAGAGCTTTTGCCTGTGATGTCAGCCTGCAGGCAAACTCATGTCGTGCCTTCCAATTTTCCATTGTAACCATGGATTAATCCATTCCACAAATACCTAAACAATTTGAAAATCGTGCCTTTGCGAAAACGGTCATATGTATTATTACCACTTATGCTCACAACTACATAATGGACAAGTTTACAATTTTTTCGTTATTAGCTCGAAATCTTATGAAAAATGAAATAAGATGGTGAAAAAATGTTGATTAATCTGTAAAAACAAAAATGTTGACGTCACACTTCATATCCAGTTGGGACGGCCGACTCAATTTCCTAAACACACGTATTGGTACACGTACAGCGGGAACACGTGGTAGGCTAAACGTCTTCCGCGACAATTTGTTTAATTAGTTGACTGAATATCCGATTGGTTATGAGCGAAATAATAAAAAAGTTTGTTATAAATACTGTATCGTTCCAAAATGGACAAGCACAATAATTACAACCCCTGATAAACATGTTTTCTACTTTCCCTCTCATGAAAATATCAGGAAGAAATCGTGCAAATTGATGAAGCGTGATTTGATTGTACCAAAAACTACAACATATTTCAACAAATATAACTTTGATGTTAGTAATTTCGTTATTGAAATCTTTCGCTTTAATAAACGTGATACTACTGCCAATTTTAGATTGGTTTCATCCAGTAACATTCTACTGAAGTACTTGCAGGTTCCTTGCTTTTCAAAAGCCACATCAAAAACGTAATTATGTGTTTACATCCACGAAGCTTAGCAGCACAATTATGACACACAACAGTTTCAATTGTTCACTTGCTAAATATTCTTGTCCGCCTATAACTTGGAAGTATTGCTTCGATTTGGATAAAATTTGCACATAAGATTACTACCATGCCAAGGACGAAAAAACTTTGTAGTTTTTGAAAATCGCCGGTGACGTTCGAGGGGATACTGATTATTTTAAAAAAAAATTAGCGGTAAAAAAAAATTGGGAGATAGAGGGTTGTAAGCGGGTGGGGAAGGTGTATCGCAATTTTTAGATGTAAGTACATTAATACACTTCCGATCCCAATAATTTAACGCACCTATTAGACATATTTCACATATCACGAATTGCTCTGTAGGCAAAACTTGGAATGATAGAAAAATGTCGATAACCGCCTTTTTTTCTGTCAATACATGTGGTTTTATTGGCCAGCATGCTTGGGGAATTATCAACATATAAACCACGTGATAGGTTTCAGATGTTACATAGAAAAATGTCCCCCCCCCCCTTTTAAGGTTTGTTTCTTCGCAGCAGTTTCAGTATCATGTAGTAATATACTTTTGTGTTACTTAGTTTGAAACATTCTAATCTAATCCATAAAAATATGTCGAGATGTTTTCAAGAGATACCTAAAACTACGGATCTAATTCGGATATTCCCGATGTTGAGAGAAAAACGACAATTCGGCATCTCTGATTATTTTGTTGGCGCTGAAATATGCGGCAGCCGACCTTGATTGTACGTATACCAGTCTGACTTAGCTGAGCCCGTACTGTTGCCAGGCTGTGAGGAAATAAGTTTTGATATCTGTCGAGGTACACCCGTTACGTATAGCCAGTTTGAATGCCTGAGTTATAAGATCGATGCTTCGAGATCGCTTTTTAAAAAGTTTATTTTTTCGAAAATACAAAACTCAAAACTGTACTTTTACAAAATTATTACAATGCTATTATGATGTTAACAGTACAAAGGCTTAAATCTGACTGACTGTAAAATGTGTTGAGAACAATAAAGTAAACTCTAGGTCTTCTAGGAAATTAGTAGCATCGTCGGCAGTATTCCTATCATATCAGCAGGAACGGCTGATATAACTCCTCCCCCCTGAGATTCAACTTCGGGGAAGAATTCTTCAAGGAAGTTGAATAGGATGAAGTTCGACTTCTGGTTGTTGAATACTTCTATTTCTGAGCTTCCTCCTCTTCAAAATGGTTTTCCAGAATGCGTAGACACCCAAGAGTAATATACATCCATATATTATCAGTGTCCAGGCACTGGGTATAAAAAATTCTGTAGGTTTTTTGGAGTTGGGTTTGTTGCTGATAATGCTTGACTTGATTTTACTTAACTCGTCCAGCTTAATTTTTTCTAGATGCAGACTGAAATTTGTTTCTGTGATGTCGCCTTTAGTGTCCAGGTTTAAGTCCGGGAATATTATAGGTTGGCCCGCGACAATCGTTTCGGGTTCATTTTTGATGATTTGGTGATTAATTTCGGCTTGACAGTTGACAGGAATAGAAAGTAGGTAAGTTCCCGTCAATCTTTTCATTTGCATTTCTTCGTGGCATTCCATTTTGATAACATCTGGTAGTGGCAGGATCAATACCCATTGATTAGTCCGTTGGATTCGTTCGATACTTGGCTGATTGATTATCAGTGGAGTTCGGGCACATGCAGGGGCGTTTCTTCCATTGAATAGTTCAAGTTCACAGGGTAATGGACCATTAATGTCTCGCAACATGGTCTTCTCGCAGAGAAACTTTTTAGGAGTAATTTCAGTACAAATGTCGCCGAAAAGTGCAAAGTGCAATTCATTTTTTACCAAATAAGGCTCCTTTGGAATGATAGTCTTAAATTGACCTTCAAAATATATCGGGATTGGAAAGAGACGATATAAGTTAAATGACTCATAGTATGAGATTGGGAATGATAAAACGAATGTAATTTTGTTGCCCACAGAATAACTGGAGATTTTGATTATTTTTTCAAAAGTTGGTATGTTATCTAGTAAAACTGGAATCGCAAATTTTTCCTGGCCTAATCTTGAGCTCAATAGTTTCAGTTCACCAAAAATTTCTTCGGTTGTAATAATGCTAGAGTGAATTGTTCCAAGACGTGCAAAAATTATTGAATTTTCAACGTCTTGTAATATTGACAGAGTTACTTCGTAGCTGTTCATAATTTGAGATACTGTGTCTACTATGAATTTATGCTGATCTGAATCGATTGTAGTACGATGAACAATTGCATATATGGTATTAATTTTATTATTCAGCAATTGTTCATTATGACAGATTTGCTGAACAGTTTTATTGAACTTATCAATAAGAGATACTGACAGTGCATTATTCTGTGTGACACTGTTAGTCAATTCTCTTTGATTATTTTGAAGCTCTTGAATTAGATTTTCGAAACGTTCGCCATCATTGGCGTCAAGGTTTCCAGTTATTGATTTGAATATCGACCCAATGCCATTTAATATGCCTCTTTTTCCTCGCTTTGTATGGGGAAATATATTATGTAACTTTTGTTCTACTTGTCGCTGAACAAATTTTAATGTTCTGAAATAATTGGACAAATATGTAGTGACATTTAAATTTGAAGAAATGGTTTCTGCTATACGTGAGGAGGAAATTGATAATTTTTCAATTTCAGAAATGATGGGATTCATATCATAATAATGAATGAGTGAAAAGTCATAGTCTTTTATTTTTGCTTCACCAATTTCCACGGGAAGTAGTCCTGGATTGTTGTCGAGGTTACGTATAGTTATGCTATCCTGAAGTCCAACCGTTACTTGCAGGAATCTGCAAATGAATAATACCTACATGTATGTATGTCGTACTTGGAGAGAAACATTTAGTTGCTAAATGAATATGTTTTGCGAAGGGGACGCTTCAAATTATCGATATGTACTTTATTGTGTTTATCAGTGGTAGCGGTCTTTTTACCAGGATCGACTGATGTTAGTGTACATGATTTTTGGAATTTATTTGCATTTTTCTGACGTATATTTTTCTTAACGAATGCTTTCTGACCTGGTTGAAATATTTTTGCACTATCTCGACCTATGTTTGCCTTTTCAATTACTTTTTCTTTATTTTGAACAAGCGCCTCGTTGATTTTGGTATATAATAGCTTACTGCGTGCTTTGTGTTGTTCTACATAATCATTCAACAAAATTTGGTCTAAGCTGATGTCAAATGTATCTTTTTCACTGAGATGACCATTTATGACATCGATGGGTTTTAATTTAGTCACAGAATGAACAGAGTTGTTGTATGCTAAGATTGCGTATATCATTTTCATTTGGACAGATGTTTTTTGAAAGCCTTGAGTGTTTAAAATTCGGAGTTGCTCAGATATTGTCGAATGAAATCTTTCGACTACGCCATTTGACTGTGGATGGTTCGGGGAACAGAAATGTATTTCGATTCCATGTAAACCTAATAACTCGGATATGACTGAGTTTTTAAACTCGGTGCCATTGTCAGTAATAACTTGTGTCGGGATTCCATGATGGGAAAAGTATCTAATAAGGTTGTCAGCTACTTCGGTACCTGTCATTGAATTGAGATGGTAAGCTTGAGCGTACTTTGAAAAACTATCGATAATGGTCAAAAATTTAGATTTTTCAAATGTGTATGTGTCCATGTGAATTATTTCAAATGGCTTCACAGCAGTGGGAGTGATATTCATTTGCGCTTTAACAGGGTGTCTCTCGTATTTGGCTTGTTGACAGATTTCGCAGTCATTTATGTATGACTGAACGGAACTTTTCAAATTTGGCCAATAGTACTTTTGTTTTAAGCGAGAATAGGTTTCATCGATCCCGCGATGATTTGATTTCCCTTCATGATAATTTTGTATTAAACTTTTAATTTCATCATTACTAGTGATGTCTAGAAGTTTTTCAAGACACCTTTTAAACTTGATAGAGGGCCATTTAAAATACTTTTGTAAAGCGCCTGAGAAGGGTTCGTATATGTCAGGATCTTCGAAATATATATAGTATGGGACATCGGGTACAATATATTCCTTGACAAAATTTACAACATCTGATTCAAGGTTGTTCTTTGAAATTTGCACTAATAGCCTCTGTTTTCTCTCGAATAAAATTATGATTTTCGGCTTGGCGGGAGAGTGCAGGACCGTTTTAATTACGATCTGATTTTGGCCAAAGTTCAATGGTTGGTCTGATATAGGAATTGTAACAACCGGGTGTTGATTATTAGAGTGCCGGGTTTCATCATCCTTGTCAAGTTCGTCTTCATTAGTATTGGTTTTGTCAATAACAAAAGGAAGTTCGTGGTAGTCAGTTTGTTCTGTTTCATTGATTATATCTTTGTCAGTATTTGTATTGTCAACGGTAGGAAGTTCCTGACAGTCAGGTTGATCTGTTTCATTGTCCAAGTTGACAATCATTGAGATATCGTCTAGTTCAGGGTTTAAATTGGGGTAGCTAATATCTTGAATTATCAGTGGTGAATTTGGATTAGCTTGTGTCGTGGGAGGTGTGTTTAAATTTTGATCTAGAAAGGTAATTCTTTGATTCTGATAGTTGGAGGCTTCTCCAAGGAAGTCATCGAGTTGTTCCCAAAAATCGTTAGTTTCCTTAGTATGAATTTCGATTCTAGAAAGAGCGTCAGCATTTGTATTGAGTTTGCCTTTTTTATAGATGATTTTGAAATTATATTCGTCAAGTTTCATTTTCCATCTCATTAATTTTGAGGAGACGCCTTCCTTTAATGAATAAAGGTACTGGAGGGGTTTATGATCTGTTATAATATTGAAGGTCTGCCCATAGAGGTAAGGTCTGAAATATTTGGTAGCCCACACTATAGCTAACAACTCTTTTTCGGTAGTGCTGTAATTTCTTTCCGAATCATTTAAGGTTCGTGACGCATAAGCTACAGGCAAATCACTACCGATTGGACCCTGACTAAGAACTGCCCCTAAAGCTACATTGCTTGCGTCAGTTGTCAAATTGAACGGTCTTGTGAAGTCTGGGTACTGAAGTATTGGGTCGTTGGTAAGTAATGTCTTACAGTTTTCGAAACATGATACAAATTCGTCGTCGTGAACAATCTTTGCGCCTTTTTTGAGGCACTTAGTGAGAGGTTTCGTGAGTTGAGCGAAATTTGGAATAAATCGCCGATAATAGCCTAAGAGTCCTAAAAAGCTTTTTATTTGCCTATTAGTTTTTGGTATAGGGAAATTTTGTATTGCTGAGATTTTGTCGGGGTTAGGTTTCACGCCTTCAGGAGTTACTATATGTCCGAGGTATGCAACCTCTTTTCTTAGAAACTCGGATTTATCTAACTGAATTTTAAAGTTAGATTCGCGTAGTCGGGTAAAGACAGATCGTAGCCTTTCTAAGTGCTCTTGAAGAGACGTCGAAAATACGATAATGTCATCGAGGTAAACGAGACATTTTTCGTTTTGAATTCCTCGGAGGATGTTATCCATCACTCGTTGGAACGTGGCTGGTGAATTTTTAAGACCAAACGGCATTCTCAAAAATTCCCAATGGCCATTTTCGGTGTTAAATGCTGTTTTTTCAATGTCTTTCTCATCCATTTCTATTTGGTGAAAACCACTAGCAAGATCCAACGTACTGAAATAGTGGCATCTTCCTAGTTTGTCCAGCAGGTCGTTTATATTGGGAAGTGGATATTTGTCATCAATAGTCTTATCGTTAAGATTACGATAGTCTATTACGACGCGCCATTTCTGTTTGCCAGAGGCATCCATCTTCTTAGCCACAACCCAAATGGGCGAGCAATATGGCGAATTACTTTGCCTAATAATGTTCGATTTCAACATTTTTTGGATTTGGTCATTTACTTCTTGTCGGTGAACAAAGGGGTACCGGTAGGTCTTGGAATAAATTGGGATCTCATCAGTAGTTCGAATCTGATGTTTTATCTTGTTTGTGAAAGTTAGTGGTTCGCCTTCACGATAAAATATATCCGAAAATTCTTTGCAAAGTTTGAGGATTGCGGACTGTTCTTCTGAATTTAGGTGGTCTACTCTAATTTTGGAATAGTCTAGTTTATTTTCTGGAGAATCGTTGATATTATTAAGATCAAATTCTTGACATATCGTCGGATGTATAGACTGGTAAAATGGTTCAACAGAAAGGGGTTCAGAAAAGTCGAGTGTAACGGTATCTGTCGTATTGTTCAGTAAGGTCGTCAAAGCATAACTATCTTTCGCAATAGTCAAGCATTCCGGTATTTCACAATTATGGATTTTTTGGTGGGGTATAATAATTTCGCCATCGCTTATGGATGTTTTAACTTTTATGACACGCTCAGTGCGAGGTTCGATGGTAACAAAATTCAAATTATTCTTAGGTTTTTGATAAAGCAACTTGATTTTTGCATACGGTGTCACAAGAAACCCTTCTTGAAATAAGAGTCTTGCCTGTAATTCTTCTAAGTTATCCATACCGATCAAACCATTGAAAAAATCATGAAACTTGAACAAGTGAAATTTTAATTCCTTTAGATGAGGCAAATTGAAAATTTTGGATGCTGGTATTAAAGTACTGAATTTATGGGCGGATTTCTGAAATACAGTCGAAACAATGAATGGTTCATTTTTGATTTGTTGTGGAAAATATTTGAATGCGATGTCTGGATCTATAAATGACCTAGTAGACCCGCAGTCAATCAAAAGTTTTATGTCATATTCGGGAAAAACTATATAGCTCAATCCTTTTGTGTTGCTAGCATTGAACGATATAATTTCACTGTTTATGTCGGTTGAATAACCTGGCTGGCTAGGGGAAAATTTTCATTTCCTGACGTCGAGGTTGGGTTGGGCATGTCAAGTTCATTATTTTGATCGGTATTGTAATGATCGTATTGACAAATATTTTGGTTGGGGTCATCATAGAATTCATCGTAATTATTTTCGACGTTAGTAGCAAAATTGCCTGTATCATAAGTTTCATATGTTGCGTTATCATTTAACTCGGTGTTATACAGTTCCTCAAAGATAAAATTTTGCTGAGGTCGAGGTGTGTTCGCCGGAATTGGAGCGAATGGTGGACGTATTGTGTTTCTTGTGCTGACACTCATCGGTGTCGGCCTTGGAAGATTTCTTGGATTTGAAGAATTGGGCTTAAAAACGTTTGTATTCGGATTCTTTGTTTGTTGGTTGCCAAAGACTTCAGCGTTAGTCGGGAAACGCTGATTTAAGTTTGGCCTAGGTTGAATTTGGATGGGTTGAGATGGGAATTGCGCACGGAAAAAGCTATTAGGCGTACGAGAATTAAAATTTTGATAAGGCATATTAACTGGGCGTGCAGGTCTGAACTGCGAATTTTGAAAATTTGTAAAATTCTGTGAATCTGTCTTAACTCTATATGAAACGTTTTGGAAATAATGCACATTTTGTTCTTCAATCACTAATTGAAGAGCTTCGCTCAAGGAGGATGGTTTCATGCACCTGACAGTGGTGCCCAATGGTTCTTTCAAGCCTGAAAGGAAAGTCTTTAACGCAAGTTTTTGATACAAATCGCGTTTTATTGCTTTACCACTTTCGGTAGCTTCGTGGATATTAACGTAGCTACACAGATTGTTTAAAATATGCAAACATCTTTCGTGAAATTTTTGAGGGCTCTCATTTTGATATTGCTTTAGTAAGCAAAGGTCTCTATGTAAGCACACTTCATCACGTTGGTCAGAAAAACTAGTAACTAATAAAGTTTCGAGTTCACTCCAGGTGTTCACTGAATGAATGTTTATTAAAGATTTGGCATGTCCTCTCAGCTTTGAAAGAATGGAGTTCAATAAAAATGTATTTTGAAAATTGTTTGGATTGGAATGATCATAAAAATTGTCAATCAAGGATTTGCTTACACGCAAAAATCGATTGAGATCGTTACTGTTGCCGTCAAATTCGGGCACACAACTTAAGTATTCGGGCCTAAAAGTAGCCATAGTTGTAGTAATACTTGTAGGTATTGAATGTACAGGGACTTGTGAAAGTATGGGCTCACGTAGTATATTAGAGTACCGTCGAGTATTTGGAGAGTCAGTATTAAGGTCCAAATTCTCAAGGGCTTGCGATATATCAATACTCATTGAAATTTGAAGCGATAAATGGAAAAAAATAAACTGCACTTACAACACTAAGAAAGCGATCTTTAGCATCTCTTACTCCTATAAAGATCCTAGCTGGTTCTGCAATGTTGTCTTCCCCAGGCTGGAATCCTTGCGAACTTGGGCAATGTGGTCCCAAATTCCGATGCCCTTCGTATGTAGCTGTTCACGCCGGTTCCTCGATGGATTGGGTATCCAAAAATATGAATCCACTCCAGTGCTCACTGCCACTACACGAATGCCACCAAGTCCAAAAGGCCGGATAGAGTCCCGAAAAGTCCCGTCGCGACGGTTTGCGAAAGTCTTTCCCGGGTCGCGTATTTCTGATCCTACTGGATTGACTGCGCCAGTTATAAGATCGATGCTTCGAGATCGCTTTTTAAAAAGTTTATTTTTTCGAAAATACAAAACTCAAAACTGTACTTTTACAAAATTATTACAATGCTATTATGATGTTAACAGTACAAAGGCTTAAATCTGACTGACTGTAAAATGTGTTGAGAACAATAAAGTAAACTCTAGGTCTTCTAGGAAATTAGTAGCATCGTCGGCAGTATTCCTATCATATCAGCAGGAACGGCTGATATAACTCCTGCACCCGATCCGGTACAATCCGCGCGAAATGGCCATGGTATTCGTTGTGTTTGACTATATATACCTGGGGGATATTATTTTTTTTAAAGAAACTTTCAGCAAGAGCTCTTATATGGTGATTAGGGGTCCTTGGAACTGCAGGATTAAAGTCATGTTTTATCAAATTTTTATTACTGAGAGACAAATTAAAAACGTTGAAACACTCTTTCTCGTGTATCAACAAACGATTGATGTAGATACTGACAAATAAGAAATTTGATGAAAACGTTTAGCGTTTTGAAGTACGTAGTAAACATCAATTTAAACCTTAATGTAAAAAACCGCTGTAATGGCTCTATTATTTGGTAGATACAGTTTTCAACGAAATAATGTACATTGTTGACGTATATACTGAAAATCAGATAAAAGTTCGAATACGACAGCCCTTCCCGCATAACCTCAAAATGCTATAGCTCAAAGGGGAGAAAATTCTAGAATAAAAAGACAGCTGCTATACCCTATTTCACGAGTATCCATCACGGTAGAATGGCAGCTGATTATCTAGTAATATTGCAAAATTCCCCATATCAGCAAAGCACACAATTCTGACGGATCCGTCAATGCCAGGTAGACAGTGCTACATTTTGTTTTGGTTTTTTGTGCGCTACAGATTCATTTTGTACTTGCTAAAAGCTCTTTTATTTAGCAAGGTTCATTTGCATACAAAAAACAAACCAGTTTTACTAGATTTACACCCGATTCATTATTGCCAACGTCGCAGA